CCCCACCGACTTGCCTGTTTTTTTTTTCTTCTACACCCTCCCGACCTGCCCCAGCGTCAATCACATAGATAGAGAGAGCAGTTCAGGAACAGTTCCACAACAGTATTTTTTTTTATAAAAGACATAGACAATAATAAGTACAGACATGTTAAGTGCTCGGCATCTCTTCTTCATCAGACAGAAATGTCATATTAAAAGAATTGAAAAATCGGGACCTCATGAAATTCGGAACAACGCGACGCACAATACACAACGAAAGCAATACACTACCGCGTACATACAACACTAGCCTATTACAGGGTCAGTCCACCCAGAAGAGATTATTCAGTGTTTGGTGATTGCGGAGAAGTAAGGCTACAAGAACCCGAGAACTGAAAAATGTCATACATTGAATATCTGCAAAAAAATTAAATCAAGTTAACTGAACTTGCTGAATTTTTCTTGAAGATCATTGGCTGGTCATCCGACTAGATTTCTAAATTCAGAATTCTCAATCAAGTCAGAATTCAGAAAGCTGGTCGCATGACCAGTGAAACATCTTCAATAAAAATACAGCAAATCCAGTTGACTTGGTTTATTTTTTTACAGATATACCATGACCTGGATGAATGAGAACCTTCATACATTGAAGCTTACCAGTCCTTAGATGTGAAATAATGTTTTTCAGCTGTCTTCTGTGGACCACAGAACCTCTGCTCTCCGTGTTACAGAGAAGGGGAGGTGTTCCGTAGTACAAAATCAGAAGAAGTGCAGCCTAGCATGGCAACACATGCTTCATAGATATACGGGGTTATTCACAAAAGGGTGAAGAGTTTGGGGAAGGCAGGAGAAGTGAACAATCCAGGACAACATACTGTAGCTGAACTGGAAAGTGAGCTGAATTGGGGGAATTTTTCCAAATCAGCGATTTTCGCCCAGATTGTTCACTTCTCCGGCCTTCTCCAAACTCTTCACCCTTTTGTGAATAACCCTGATAATATTGTGAGTGAACACTGCCACCCTAGTGTGTTACCGGCAGTCTAAAATCCTATGATGACATCTTCGAAGGAATGGTAAGCTGCAGTATATTACATTTGTGTACTTTTGAGGCGCTTGTGGAGCTCTATGTTGCTCTACTGGAGATCTTGAGTACTTTCATCTGTATGGTGGCTAACACTATGGCTCTGGTGGAGCTCTATGTTGCTCTACTGGAGCTCTTGAGTACTTTCATATGTATGGTGGCTAACACAATGGCTCTGGTGGAGCTCTATGTTGCTCTACTGGAGATATTGAGTACTTTCATCTGTATGGTGGCTACCACTATGGCTCTGGTGGAGCACTCTGGTCGCTCTACTGGAGATCTTGAGTACTTTCATCTGTATGGTGGCTAACACTATGGCTCTGGTGGAGCTCTATGTTGCTCTACTGGAGATCTTGAGTACTTTCATCTGTATGGTGGCTAACACTATGGCTCTGGTGGAGCTCTATGTTGCTCTACTGGAGATCTTGAGTACTTTCATCTGTATGGTGGCTAACACTATGGCTCTGGTGGAGCTCTATGTTGCTCTACTAGAGATCTTGAGTACTTTCATATGTATGGTGGCTACCACTATGGCTCTGGTGGAGCACTCTGTTGCTCTACTGGAGATCTTGAGTACTTTCATATGTATGGTGGCTACCATCATAGCTCTCGTGGAGCACTCTGTTGCTTACTGGAGATCCTGAGTACCTTCACCTACATGTGGGCTACCATCATTCAATTTTTAAAATGTATATCCTGGATAGTGTAATGGCGAAGTAGGAACACTCGCTCTAGAGTGGCCAGGAATAGAGCTAGAAACTTTGAAGACCCCCAAAAAAGCATCAAAAAGGGGAATAGACTGACCTTTTAGCATCAAGTGCACTGCAGTGTACAAATCTGCAGGTCTTCCTCTTTCCCAAACAGAAACATAAGAGGTGGAGAAAATGCAGTAGAACACAGTGGCCCTTTTACTGATAAGGCGAAGAGCAATTAGCAGCTCATAGGAACCAGAACTGATCTTTCTCTGCACTGACTGTGTTAAAACTACAGCAGATGCATTCTGAATGGCTTTCTTAAAGAGAACCTGTCAATGAACAGCTGAGGCTTATATCCAGCTTTGGGGGCTGCCACGGCTTGACTAGTCTAGCGATGCAAAGATCTGGAGCAAAGCCCACGTCTACAGCAGTGGCCATGCCCGGGACCAACACCTAGCTTCCAGAAGTCGCACGGCAGCAGCCCCCAGCTGCTGTATAGGAACACTGATAAATAACAACCGTCTGCCTGGACTACACAGCAATTAAAAACCTAAAACATAGCAGCCTTCCTTTTATGTACCCATCCGGCCACAACTCGGACACTCTTTCTCGTCTCTCCCATGAATACTGAAGTTTTATCAACTGCTGATGCAAAAAGTCATCAAACATCCACAGCCGAGGAAAGAAGGCGGCAGATCTTTTGTGTCCTGGGTATCAGTCCTTAGTATTTTAAGCACATGCCCCTCCCACTGTGACATCACAAGGCCACATTTCAGTTGGTAGAATTAGACACAGGCAGACAACAGGCATGTTATAAAGTCACAAGTGCTGTAATGGGGCAAAGCTACGGCCCATGCAATTGGTATTTCATCCATAGAATCTCAGTCCAAATCAAAGCACTAAAAGCTGGCTCAGTTAACGTGAACAAATCTGGCCACGACTCCCTGCCATTCAGGTACCTGAACCGCCTGCATTACCTAAAATGCACCAGGGTTGAAGATGGCAGATGGTGTTCGCCCTAGGATATCAGAGACAGCTGAAACGCATACACAGTATGGGGTGTCGTGCTAACAGGGCCATCAAACCGAATACTAGTTCAGCATTGGTTAATACCCTGCATGCAACTATCCAAACCATCTGTAACGCAACAGAGAACTCTTATGAAGGTGGCAAATTATAATCAGACGTGTACTTGTCCAAATCTGTATTTACTAATGCATCACTGGACAGCAGCCAACCCGGCAAGCCTCACTCTCAAACAACTTCTTATAATGAAAGCAGATCCTGCCTTGGTCCATCTGCCAAGGAGTCTCGGTTTTGTCCATCGATCGCAATCATTCCGTTGCTCCTTACGAGGGGTGTCCACCCGAGTCATGGCACTGCTAAACATATAGATCATTTGCTGTTCCCACACTTCACATAAGGTAGGCGAGAGGCTTCTGAGGGCAATACGGGCCCAAAACAACTATCCCTCCATTTTCACCCACAAATGTGAATCTAACATGGCAAGATACACTGGCTTGGCATGGCTACCATTGAACTCTGACTCCAAGTGGCTGCCATCTGTGTTTGGAAATCTCTAGGTCACTAATCAATTGTTTACAATACAACACGGAATGCTGCATGCAGGTCAACCCCATTCCGCCAACACTCTGATATGACTGGATATCGAGCACAAGCTGGACAAAAATCCAGCCGTTCACGGATGGGGAATCTGGGCATGAGACAGGAGCCCTCTCTATGATATGATGTTGGGTACAGGACGGAGCCCTCTCTATATGATATGATATGATATTGGGTACAGGAAGGAGCCCTCTCTATATGATATGATATTGGGTACAGGACGGAGCCCTCTCTATGATATGATATTGGGTAGAGGACGGAGCCCTCTCTATGATATGATATTGGGTACAGGACGGAGCCCTCTCTATGATATGATGTTGGCTACGGGACGGAGCCCTCTCTATGATATGATTTTGGGTACGGGACGGAGCCCTCTCTATGATATGATTTTGGGTACCGGACGGAGCCCTCTCTATGATATGACGTTGGGTACGGGACAGAGCCCGCTCTATATGATGTTGGGTACAGGATGGAGCCCTCTCTATATGATGTTGGGTACAGGAAGGAGCCCTCTCTGATATAATGTTGGGTATGGGACAGAGCCCTCTCTATGATATAATGTTGGGTACGGGACGGAGCCCTCTCTATGATATGATATTGGGTACGGGACGGAGCCCTCTCTATGATATGACGTTGGGTACGAGACAGAGCCCGCTCTATATGATGTTGGGTACAGGATGGAGCCCTCTCTATATGATGTTGGGTACAGGAAGGAGCCCTCTCTGATATAATGTTGGGTATGGGACAGAGCCCTCTCTATGATATAATGTTGGGTATGGGACAGAGCCCTCTCTATGATATAATGTTGGGTATGGGACAGAGCCCTCTCTATGATATAATGTTGGGCATGGAACAGAGCCCTCTCTATGATATGATGTTGGGTACAGGAAGGAGCCCTCTCTATGATATGATGTTGGGTACCGGTCGGAGCCCTCTCTATGATATGATATTGGGTACAGGACGGAGCCCTCTCTATGATATGATAATTGGTACAGGAAGGAGCCCTCTCTATGATATAATGTTGGGTATGGGACAGAGCCCTCTCTATGATATAATGTTGGGCATGGGACAGAGCCCTCTCTATGATATGATGTTGGGTACAGGAAGCAGCCCTCTCTATGATATGATGTTGGGTACCGGTCGGAGCCCTCTCTATGATATGATATTGGGTACCGGTCGGAGCCCTCTCTATGATATGATATTGGGTACAGGACGGAGCCCTCTCTATGATATGATATTGGGTACCGGACAGAGCACTCTCTATGATATGATATGATATTGGGTACAGGAAGGAGCCCTCTCTATGATATAATGTTGGGTACCGGTCGGAGCCCTCTCTATGATATGATATTGGGTACAGGAAGGAGCCCTCTCTATGATATAATGTTGGGTACCGGTCGGAGCCCTCTCTATGATATGATATTGGGTACAGGAAGGAGCCCTCTCTATGATATGATATGATATTCGGTACGGGACGGAGCCCTCTCTATGATATTGGGTACAGGATGGAGCCCTCTCTATGATCTTGGGTACAGGATGGACAATTGCCCCACTGTTCTGTGATATGACCGCGTATCAGGCACCGGATGGGCACTGTTCAATTGTTCCCACAAGCGGCACGTTTACGCGAAGGAGTTTTCTGCCGTGTGAGATCTCTGGTGAGTGGCCAGTTGGTAGCTCCAGCAGAAGCTCTGCCCACATTCAATACAGGTGTACGGCTTTTCGCCAGTGTGGACGCGCTGGTGGCGGACAAGCTGGTAACTCCAGCTGAAGTTTTTGCCGCACTGCGGGCAGGAATACGGCCTCTCTCCGGTGTGGGTTCGTTGGTGTTTGTTGTAGTCGGAGTTGCGGCTGAAGTTCTTGCCGCAGAGGGGGCACTGGAAAGGCTTCTCGTTGCTGTGGGTGACGCGGTGGCGGTCGCAGCCCACCTTGTCGATGAAACATTTGCCGCATTCGGGACAGGCGTAGGGCTTTTCGCCCGTGTGAATACGCTGGTGGGTCACCAGGACGGAGCGCTGGCTGAAGCTCTTGCCGCAGGTGGCACAGGTGTAGGGGCGCTCGCCGGTGTGAATGCGCTGGTGCATTACCAGCTTGGAGCTCTCGCTGAAGCTCTTGCCGCACTGGTTACAGGTGTAAGGGCGCTCACCTGTGTGAGTCCTCTGGTGGGTGATAAGGTGCGAGCGCACGCTGAAGCTCTTGCCGCAGTCGTCGCAGGAATACGGCCGTTCGCCGGTGTGAGTGCGCTGGTGAATGACCAGCTTGGAACTCTCGCTGAAACTTTTGCCGCACTCTATGCACGTGTACGGGCGCTCTCCGGTGTGGGTGCGCTGGTGGCGGACCAGCTGGGAGCTCTCGCTGAAACGTTTGTTGCAGTCCGAGCAGGCGAAGGGCTTCTCGCCGGTGTGAATTTTCTGGTGGCGGATGAGCAGGGAACACGAGGTGAAGCTTTTGCCGCAGTCCACGCAGGGGTAGGGACGTTCCCCGGTGTGGTTCCGGTGATGCTGGATGAGCAGAGATTTCTGGCTGAACCGTTTCCCGCACACCGTGCACAGGAAGGGCTTGGCTTTCGCGCTGGTCCTCTTCTGAGGTCGGAATGTTCGAGCAATGGAAAACCGCGACCCGCTGGAGGGCACCGGGCACTCCGGCCCTCCATTATCCTTTGTTTCGTTCTCCTCTCCTGTGCGAGCCTTCAACTCACCGACTGGAAGGTTATTGTTGCAGGCCGCCATTCTCGCCGTGCTCAGCAGCTCAGACAACCGGTCTGGGGAACAATGGTTAAGTGCGTCATGATCCTGACCGGGAGCCACGAATTCATTCAGGATGTTCAGGGACAGTCTCTCCGGGGAGTCTCTGCTGAGGTTGCGGTGTGTTTTGGTGGGCTTTCTCCGACGTCTGGGGGTATCTGCTGAGGTCTGTGTGTTATTATTCTTCTCCTGGCACAGCGTGGCTACGGTTCTCGGGGCTCCTTTACAATCTGCGGAATGAAAAAAAACAGAAGAATTACTATTAACACCGACATCAGCTCTGCTGCGTTCTGACACTGGGGGACCGGAAACAAAGGCATATTGTTACATGTGCACTGGGGGACCGGAAACAAAGGCATATTGTTACATGTGCACTGGGGGACCGGAAACAAAGGCATATTGTTACATGTGCACTGGGGGACCGGAAACAAAAGGTTGTTACATGTGCACTGGGGGACCGGAAACAAAGGTTGTTACATGTGCACTGGGGGACTGGAAACAAAGGTTGTTACATGTGCACTGGGGGGCCGGAAACAAAGGTTGTTACATGTGCACTGGGGGACCGGAAACAAAGGCATATTGTTACATGTGCACTGAGGGATTGGAAACAAATGCATATTGTTACAGGTGTTTTTAAACGCCCGCACAGCCACGCCCACTTGCGCATGCGAACAGGAAACTGGCTAAATTTAACAACAGGCAGTGATGACTGTTAACATACAGGCTTTAGAGCCAGCAGATCGCTTGCATAAGCTGCCGTTCCATGTGTCCCCCCCCTCCACGGCCCCCCCTCCCGCTTGTCCCGTGCTCCGCTGTGCCCGGTGCGAGCCCGGTACCAGCATAGTGGCTCTTTGACAGGGGATCAGAGGGAGATCGGTACACAAACTCCCTCCAGTCCCCTCTCCGCTGTCAGAATGCAGAAGTGATGTATTCTTGTGTCACTCTCCAGCTCCAGAAGCATCAGCTTCTTTGGGGGGTCCTAGGGGACGTTAGAGGTCTTGGAGACCCCTGATGTCTCCATAAAGAGGACCCGTCACATCCTCAGTGCCATCACATAGGGGGGTTTCTTAGCCCTCTATGTGAAAGCAATAAAGGTAAGTGGAAAAAAAAAAGCCACCTGAAAAAACAAAACAAAACAAAAAAATCACAAAAAATGTTTTAAAGTCCCCCCATACATACACACGCAAACATTCGTCGGGTGCGCATATGTGCGAAAACGCTGATTGCGCCCATTACGCCGTACATGTTACATATCGCCGCGAACGTCGCAATAATTCTAGGCCCATCAATCATTGGTAACACTAAACTGATGAGCAGTAAAAGCTTATAAAGCAATTTTGGGTATTGTAGTTTTTTGCAATTTTGCGGGTGCGCACAATTTTAAAGCTTGACATGTTTGGTGTCTATTTACCCGACGTGACCCCGACTTTTATATTTTACCAAAAAACTGGGTAATAATAAATGTTTCCTAACATAATGGAAAAAAATAAACTTTTTTTTCTCAAAATTTTTAGTAATTTTTCCTAATTATAGTAAAAAATAAAAACCCCCCAGCGGTGATTAAATACCACCAAAAGAAAGCTCTATCTGTCCCCAAAAAATGGTATAAAATTAATTTCAGTACAGCGCTGCATGACGGAATAAATGTCAGTCAAAGTACCGCAGCGCTGAATACTGAAAAATGGCCGGGACAGGAAGGGGGTGTAAACACCGCGGACTTCAAGTAGTTAATATAGGTAAGGATATAATACTCACATGCTACAAGTCTACAAGCCTTGGGCCAGCTTCATACCTATGCAGTGCTGTGGCATGCATGTTACCGCAACGCACCCTACATGTGTTATATATGGCACCCTCATGCATTAAAGGAACGTACCTCAGCTGCAGCGCACCACAATGCTCAGTAACACTCTACTATCAGGGTATTCACTTACCTGCCGGCCGAGTGACTAACCCGAGCCGAAGAGAAGTGAGCGCTGTTCGGCTATTCACTCCGGCTCAGTACGGCGGATTTCAGCGTACATGAGCCGCCTTCGGACAGCCAAACATGTTCGGCTAAGCCGAAGTGCAGAAGGAGTTCGACTGAGCCGATCCAACATCTGGATCGGCTGAGCCGAAGCTCAGGCAGCTCACTCGCTGCCGTTCGTAAGTTAATAGCCGAATGCCGCTCGGCTATTCCGTTTGGTACCTCCGAATTTTAGTACCAAAAGAATTGAAAGGAATGAAAAAAAAAACCAAAAAACAACAAACAGTTTAAATTTTTTTTAAAGAATGATAAAAAAAAATAGTAACATTAAAATATATTTGTGTAAGGAGTCCACTTCACTTGACATATGACTACGTCTGATAGGACCTGAAGTGTGCCATGGTCCTGGCGGACAGTAATGCCAATAAGGGGGCATACTCTGATAGTGTGAAGAGTGAAATGAGGTGAACTCCTGACTGAAAAACCCCAAGGGATGGGGGGGGGGTTGCTCGGAAGACCTCCCGTCCCCAGCAGATGGATCGGCGCTGCTTAAGTGGGGTAAGGAGGCGCAGACCCCTCCCACTAATTCAGGCTAACCTATTAGCCTTCCAACATATATTTTTAAGAAAAAAACAAACACATTGGGTATAGCCAGCGGTGACAGTTAGCGCCACCCAACTGTTTCCTTTTGGCCAGACCCTGCCAGAGTCTTCTAGCAGGTCCCGGGCCAATGAATAACAACTGGGCGGCGCCGGCTGGCTCCGTCAAGTTATTGTTTAATGACAGATTACCATCCCCAGGTCATTTGGGGACACTGATCTGTCTATACAACTGGGCAGAGCGAGCTGTGAGGTCACGGTTGACTCCGCCCAGCTGTCATTTGCAATGTTGTTCTCCCTGCTTCGGCTGTCACTTCGGATAGCATATGCCTTTGGCTCGGCTGAGCTGCTAGTCCGCCTTCGGTTGCTGTACGGGCTATTGTGAATAGCCCGTACAGCAGCCCTTCGGTTCGGCCGAAGGATCAGCCGAAGCTACGGCTGTAAACTTCGGGTCAATAGTGAATAACCCCCTATGTGATTCTCATTTCACATTTGTATGAATATTAACCATGACTATGAACTGCCATATTTTATACAACTATTGCGTTACAAACTGGTTAAAGGAGTTCTAAAGTCCCAGTATATACAGTACTCTCCTGTTGTAACATCAGCATTTATTAGGAATACATATTATAACAGGGGGGTTTTCCCTTGTGGTGACACCTCTTATTGCACCAGACTAGGAAGATTAATTTCACAACCAGAAGGAACCTTCTCAATGTTTTTATTCTGCCAAAAGATGTAATGCGACGGCCGCTTACATCGTTCCAGATGACGGATCTGGTTACCGCACTGCAGCAGTGTGAATCCGGCCACACTTTTTCTCCAAAAAAAACCCAAAAAACCGTACCTGAAGTTCCCTGTGGTAGAAGAGCTCTTATGTACTCCTCTCCAGAGGCGCCTGCGTCTCCCACCTCTCCTCCACGGCATGGGTTGCAGGACACAACCACTGCTAGAAGAGTCTCCTGGAGGCTACAACGCTGGAATGGAGGGAAGGTGGAAGACACAGGCCACTGGAGCGGTGCGTACAACGGCTCTACATCTGCCGGAGCGGTGCATCTGCCGGAGCGGTGCGTACAACGGCTCTACATCTGCCGGAGCGGTGCGTACAACGGCTCTACATTTGTCAGAGCGGTGCGTACAACGGCTCTACGTTTGCCGGAGCGGTGCGTACAGCGGCTCTACATCTGCCGGAGCGGTGCGTACAGCGGCTCTACATTTGCCGGAGCGGTGCGTACAGCGGCTCTACATCTGCCAATGCGGTGCGTACAACGACTCTACATTTGCCGGAGCGGTGCGCACAGCGGCTCCACATTTGCCCGAGCGGTGCGTACAGCGGCTCTACATTTGTCAGAGCGGTGCGTACCGCGGCTCTACATTTGCCCGAGCGGTGCGTACAGCGGCTCTACATTTGTCAGAGCGGTGCGTATAGAGGCTCTACATTTGCCCGAGCGGTGCGTACAGCGGCTCTACATTTGCCGGAGCGGTGCGTACAACGGCTCAACATTTGTCAGAGCGGTGCGTACCGCGGCTCTACATTTGCCCGAGCGGTGCGTACAGCGGCTCTACATTTGTCAGAGCGGTGCGTATAGAGGCTCTACATTTGCCCGAGCGGTGCGTACAGCGGCTCTACAATTGCCGGAGCGGTGCGTACCGCGGCTCTACAATTGCTGGAGCGGTGCGTACAGCGGCTCTACAATTGCCGGAGCGGTGCGTACCGCGGCTCTACAATTGCCGGAGCGGTGCGTACAGCGGCTCTACAATTGCCGGAGCGGTGCGTACAGCGGCTCTACAATTGCCGGAGCGGTGCGTACAGCGGCTCTACAATTGCCGGAGCGGTGCGTACAGCGGCTCTACAATTGCCGGAGCGGTGCGTACAGCGGCTCTACAATTGCCGGAGCGGTGCGTACAGCGGCTCTACAATTGCCGGAGCGGTGCGTACAGCGGCTCTACAATTGCCGGAGCGGTGCGTACAGCGGCTCTACAATTGCCGGAGCGGTGCGTACAGCGGCTCTACAATTGCCGGAGCGGTGCGTACAGCGGCTCTACAATTGCCGGAGCGGTGCGTACAGCGGCTCTACAATTGCCGGAGCGGTGCGTACAGCGGCTCTACAATTGCTGGAGCGGTGCGTACAGCGGCTCTACAATTGCCGGAGCGGTGCGTACAGCGGCTCTACAATTGCCGGAGCGGTGCGTACAGCGGCTCTACAATTGCCGGAGCGGTGCGTACAGCGGCTCTACAATTGCCGGAGCGGTGCGTACAGCGGCTCTACAATTGCCGGAGCGGTGCGTACAGCGGCTCTACAATTGCCGGAGCGGTGCGTACAGCGGCTCTACAATTGCCGGAGCGGTGCGTACAGCGGCTCTACAATTGCCGGAGCGGTGCGTACAGCGGCTCTACAATTGCCGGAGCGGTGCGTACAGCGGCTCTACAATTGCTGGAGCGGTGCGTACAGCGGCTCTACAATTGCCGGAGCGGTGCGTACAGCGGCTCTACAATTGGCTGAGAATTTCAGGTACCTCTTTAAAGGAGAAGTACACTTACTTTTTGTGACCTCACCTGACCCGCTCCACAGACGCAGGCCCACCTTGACCTGACAGGCGCCGATCCGCTGCCGGCGCACAGTGGCCCAGACTTCTATGGGATCTTCTTTGATGGC